CACACACACTGCATACACTAACACACAACACACACACACACTGCATACACTAACACAACACACACACACACTGCATACACTAACACAACACACACACACTGCATACACTAACACAACACACACACGCACTGCATACACTAACACAACACACACACACACACACATGCTGCATCCACTAACACAACACACACACTGCATCCGCTACACACTAACACACACTCTGCATCCGCTACACACTAACACACTCACTGCATCCACTATACTGACACACACTCTGCATTCGCTACACATTAATACACTCTGCATTCACTACACTAACACACACTCTGCATCCGCTACACACTAACACACACTCTGCATCCGCTACACACTAACACACTCTCTGCATTCACTACACATTAACACACTCTACATTCACTACACTAACACACACACTCTGCATCCACTACACACTAACACAATCTCTGCATTCACTACACTAACACACTCTCTGCATTCACTACACATTAACACACTCTCTGCATTCACTACACTAACACACACTCTGCATCCGCTACACACTAACACACACTCTGCATCCGCTACACACTAACCCACTCTCTGCATCTGCTACACACTAACCCACTCTCTGCATTCACTACACATTAACACACTCTGCATTCACTACACTAACACACACACTCTGCATCCTACACTAACACACTGCAACTACACTAACTCTCTGCATTCACTACACATTAACACATTCTGCATTCACTACACTAACACACACTCTGCATTCACTACACATTAACACACACTCTGCATTCACTACAAATTTACACACACTCTGCATTCACTGCACTAACACACACTACATTCATTACACTGACACACTCTGCATTCACTACACACTAACACACACTCTGCATTCACTAAACTATGCATACACTATGGATTCACTATACTGACACACAATCTGCATTCACTACACTAACATACACTCTGCATTAACTGTACACACAGCATCCACTACACAAACATCCTGTATTCACAGTACACACACTACATCCACCACACATTGAAACACTCTGCATTCACTATACACAGACACTGCGTCTAATACACACACTACATCCACTACAGACACTGCATCCACTAAACACATTTCATCTAGTACATACAAACACTACATCCACTACACAAACACACACTACATCACTGTACACACACTATATCCACTACTCAAACACACTCTGCGTTCACTATACACACTGCATCCGCTACACAAACACACACTCTGCATTCACTGCACAAACAGTATCTAATACACACAAACACTACATCCATTACACATATTCTAATTCACTTCCACTATACACACCACATTCAGTCCTGCATCAATGTCAGCGGACCAGGTAGGGCGTGTGCGGGCCCGGGAGGGAGGGAGGGAGGGAGGGGGGGGCCCAAACCTGGTGCTTTGTCAGGGGCCCCAAAATTTCTGATGGCCGCCCTGCCTGAACCAAATCTAATTTTCCTGGACCTGGGGAAATTTGAGAAGTTGCTTGCCTTTAAGTATAATATGGAACCCTCCTGGGGCCCGGGACAGCCATAGTTCTGAATGATGGATTTGGATTAACTCCGCTCCTCTGAGTGAATGTAGTCTCTCGAGACATTATTAATCAAGTCTTGGAAGTCAGCGGGTGCATTGCACAGACCAAAGGGCATGACCAAGTATTCATAGTGCCCACACCTGGTAATTAAATGTGGTTTTCCATTCATGCCCCTCCTTTATCCTTACTAAATTATAAGCACTACAGAGATCTAATATTAGTAAAAACAGTAACCCATTTAGGTCTATCGAACAATTCCGACAGGGGTATAGGATAGACATTCTTTATAGGTATTTTATTTAGACCTCAGTAGTCATTACAGGATCTCAAGTCACCTTCCTTCTTAGACATAAAGCAAAAAACACGCTCCAGCAAGAAAAGAGGAGCGGCGTATGAAACCCTTAGAGAGATTCCTGTATGTATTCCTCCATTATCATGCTTTCTTGCGGGGACAATGGATACACACGATCTCTAGTACCAGGCAAGAAATTAATGGCACAGTCCTAAGATCTGTGTAGTGGCAAGGATTCTGCATGACTCTTATTAAACACCTTTTTAACGGACACGTATTGGGAAGGGATTTCCGTGGGGACAAAGGTGTGTCTGTAGGCACGTTAATAGCATTGATAGGTTTAACAGGTTGTATACACTTTTATCTGCATAAATCTCACCATGACAATATTTCCCCCTGAAACCAATCAATATGGGGGTTGTGTAAAGAAAACAAAGGGAAACCTCAGACAACAGGAAAGGGAGGATATAACCTGGAAAACAATAGATTCCTTATGCAAAACGCCTATGGGTAGATTAATGGAACATGTTTCCTGGGTAATCAAAGGATTCCTCAGGGACCCAGCATCTGTGGCTTCAACGGCCAAAAGTGTTCTTCTGCTTCTTAGTAGTACTTGATACAAGTGAGTATATTCAACATCAATAACATTTTCAGCAACTCCTGAATCTATAAGAGCTTTGGTGGTAAAAGCAGTACCACCCCCAAGATAGAGAGATAGGAAGCAGGAATCTATTATGAGGCGTAGTAGGGGACATGTACACAACACCTAAGGTCGGACCCCTAATGGTCCTTGGTGCGTACGTTTTCCGGACAGATGGGGCATGATAAACATAGATGACTTTGTTTTCCACAATCCGTCACCTCTCCTGTGTTGTCTCTCAGCCTCTGATAGTTTAGTTACTCCTAACTGCATGGGTTCTGGATCATGTTGGGAAGTACCAGGAGAACGAGAAAAATAAGGAACCAAGGGAATAGAGGAGTGCTTAGGTTTGCCTTTAGACTTTTCCCTTTCTTGCAGATCAGGAGTTCATGGCCAAGGTTTTTGTGTTTGACACCTGTTGCGGTTATAACTATTTCAGATGCCAGGTAGTTTTACTAATCTGTTATTGTTTTGATCAGAGTGGCTGTATCTGCCTTATATACTAATGAGTCAGAGGGATCATGCATGGCCAGACAAGACATTGTGCTGCAGAAAGTTAATCATGATGGGACATAGAGGCATATGGTGCTGAAGCTTGGAAAGAGGAACCATGGCTGGGTCCAGGATATGGTTTCTCCTTTGATAATTCAGAATTATTCCGCAATGTGTGAATACAACTTTTGTATGTTTTACAGAATGTACGTTTAATTTAAAATATTTAATTGAAATACTTATACACTATATATACATTTTTTTATTTTTTTTTATTTTTTATTAAACACTGTATTGTAGAGAATTGCAAAATGTAACTAAAACATGATTATGTGAAAAAAATACACGGGGCTCAGCTGTAGTCAGAGCTTGTCTGTTTTACCTTAAATTGTACAATTTAATTTTAGATGTAATACATAGTCTACAATCAGGTATTAAGTGACCCTCATGTTGGTTTTGTGAAATATTTTCTGTATAGATAAATAACAAACAGCAACTCAGCACCCAGATTCCTTTACATGTTATCTGTGTGTGTTTTGTTTATTAGTATTTTAGTCATACTTGTAAGGCAGACATCCTCATTCAGTTGATTTTTGCGCAATCTAATGATGGAATGTGGTGGTAAAAGGTTGAAGACCAATATAGCACTTATCAACCCAATCAGAGGCAATCGAGGTAAGACTGTTTTTGCTCTTCTCGTTTAGGTCACAGTAAAACTAAACCAAAAACAAACCCAACAAGTAAACGTGCGCTCATTCTTATATCAGGTAGAGGGCGCTATTGTTGTACATTCATCATCACTAGTACTAATAAAATAGATTCTGAGTGCTATGCATGCATTGCTGACTTCATAAAACTTCTCATTGTAAGGGATGTGCACTCCATCAGAAAATTTGGACTAAAGCTTCAATCGTGGTAAGTCATTCATACTGGCTGGGCGTCATGGGTGTCATAGTGCAGACTTATAGTCTTTCCCTGATCCTATGAGACCACACATTTTAATAGCATGTAAGTGTTCCCCATCATCCATCCCAGAGAGATTGGTTACCTCGGGGCTATAACAACAAACAAAAAACAATCCCCCCACCCCCCAAAAAAAATATAATAATAATAATAATAATAATAAAAAAAGGGGGTTCTATTCAACCTGTGTTCTGCCTTACTTTGATCTTAGAGGGTGTGAGTCACGCATGGTGTCGTCACTCAATGCTCTGTTTCTGTTGTTAACACTCACACTTCCGCAGTGGTGACAGTGTCTGAGTGTGAGTAGAGCATTCTGCATTCGGGCTCACAGCTTTCCAGGAGCACAGGCTAAGGTACAGTGAGATCCCTGGCAATGCAGGGTTTGTACTCAGTGTGTGTGTGTGTGTGTGTGTGTGTGTGTGTGTGATTGCACTTGGTATGGCTGGGTTTAAGACTGACTTGTTGAATACAAACAGAGGAAGGGATGCATGTTTCCTGCGGTGTGTGTGAGTTCTTGTTTATTTGACAGACCGGTTTCACAAGGTTCCATCTCCTTGGGTGTAGAGCCCCAAACATTACTATCCAGTTACCTGTTGCTGGGGGGGGAGTCATACACTAGAGTCACAGAGGCTTATTTAGTCTGCCAACCTGCTACATAGTGTATGAGATCAGAGGAGGGTGGTGTCTGCTTCTGTTTTGAGATATTTAGTAGAGGAATTCAGAGGAAGATGTGACTTGCAAAGACTAGACTTATCTCTTGTAATTGAATATCAGTTATCACATTAACTTCTGTGGGGAAATTGCTATTCAATAAAAAGATTATCTCCTTATCTCCTCTCACAGAATCTACAATACAAACTTTATTTCAACAATTTAACATAAACTGCAAAGTATTGAGAACATTATTATTATTTTCTGCTGGTTTTCATTTTGTCTTGTATCACATTTATAGCCCCTGATGTAGAATGCTTGTATTATGTTTATGGTGAGTGGTGTACAGTATATCCTTTAGAAGTGTGAGGTTGTGCAGGACCTTATTTTATCAAATGTTAATCCAATGTGGCTTGAAATTATTATATAAATGGTATTAAAAAGATTGTACACATATATCAAAGAATATTACCCTCTGGGCTTTTGATGCCAAAGCATTTGTGGGCCTGATGAATTTCTAAGCAATGCAGAAAAACCTGTTGCACTCTATGGAGGAGATTGAGTATCATGGGAAATGTACCAATACATAATAGGTGTCTCTAGGGGTAACCAACAATACCCTGTGTGGACTGAATACCCTAACAAAGAAGCACACTTCATACTTAAATTATAGAGATTTGTGTTATTTGTCCATTGTCTGATTGATTTTTTTTATTTTAAATTTTTGTATTTATTACTGGCATTTATAAAGCGCCAACATATTCCGCAGCGCAGTACAATTGGGAAAAAGACAAATACAATAAGAACAGACTGATGCAACAGGTAGAGGACCCTGCCCGTATGAATCCATTGCATGTTGGAAATAATAATACTGTGTGTGTGTGTATGTATGTATGTATGTATGTATGTGTGTGTGTATATATATATATATATATATATATATATATATACACACACACACACACACATAGTATGATCATGACACCTGTGGGTAGTTAGAAATTTACTGAATTTGCATACAGAAAATAAAAGGAAATAAAATGAAAAAAAGTTTAAAAATCCCTGGTATTTAGCCCAAAGCAGTTGGTTGATTTGTTGTTTTAGGTAGCCTGGCCAGTTGTTACAGCTATTCTGTATTCTTACTAATACACAAGGATACAAATTGTCCTTTTTTGAAAGGTTCTGTAAGACTTCTCCCATCAGTGGAACCTTCCACGGGAAAATGGCCGTCATGTCAGCACTGATTAAAGGCTGATCTTACACACCAGGAAGACACGCTGAACATTCTACAGCGGCGTTTCCCAATTGGTATTCTAAGAAACTCTGGGATTCCACAGAACACCAATTGGGGTTCTGCCAAAAGTTCGAAAAATAAAATGGGCGTGGGTGGTGAGGGAGCAGTGAGCAGTGATCTCCCTGCTCAGCTCCCTCGCACGCACAGGTGTGATGCTGGAGCTGGAATATAACGTAATTCCGACATCACTAAGAGGCGCGCAAGGGAGCTGAGCAGATCACTGCTCCCTCGGCGCCTGCACACCGGCTGCTCAGCAGCCCCACTGGACCCCAGGGACTGCTCGCCAGCCGCCCAGCACATCCACTGGACCACAGGAACTCCATGCCAGCACTCCTAAAGGTAGGGGGGCTGGATGGAGTAAAATGTAAAAAGAAAAAATTGTCTGTTAGGGAGTTTGTATGTGTTTTTGTTTCCGTCAAAGTGTATATGTGTGTTTATCAGTGAGAGTGAATATGTGCTTGTCAGTGAGTGTGTGAGTGTATGTGTTTGTCAGTGAGAATGTATCTGTTCTTGTCAGTAAGAGTGTATATGTGTTTGTCAGTAAGTGTATGTGTGTCAGTGTGTGTGTGCCAGTGTATATCAGTGTGTTTGTATGTGACTGTGTGTATATGTCACTGTGTGTATCTGAGTGTGTATTTTTGAGTCATGATGTGTGTGTATCTGTGTGCCACTATGTGCCAGTGTGTGTATGTATCTGATACAGAGATATACAAACACACCTTGGCACATACAAACACAGATACACACACCTTGACACACAGATACAGATGGATGCACACTGTGTGTCAAGGTGTGTGTATCTGTGAGCCACTATCTGTCAGTGTGTGTATCTGTGTGCCAGATTCATACACACTTGCACATACAAACACAGATACACACTGTGTGTCAAGGTGTATCTGTGTGTCAGTGTGTGTATCTGTGTGCCACTATGTGCCAGTGTGTGTGTGTATCTGTGTGTCATACACACACAAAGATACACACACTGGCACATACAAGCACAGATATACACACCCTGGCACATACAAAAAATGGTGCAATTGTTAATTATTTTCTGGGGGGGCAGGGGGGCTTCCACGATGTTGATACACTATGTCAAAGGGTTCCACAGTAAAAATTAATTGGGAACCCCTTAGTAAAAGTTTACTTAAAGCAATAGTTTGAAGTTAGTTAGCAATGTTTAAATCAAAATAGTGGAGACAAAGAAAAATTACAACTCCGTTTTCTCCTCCACTAGTAAATATTAGATTCACTGAAACTGGACAGGTTGATGCCCCTTTTCAGTAAATAGTCTCAAACTGCGAGCTGGAGTTCTTTGCCAATTACTTTAGTACATATGCTGCCTGTTCTAAATATATTTTGGAAAATCATAGACACATGTTGACTGCAAGATAGGTAGCAAATACATGCTAATACAAATAGATATGTGTTGGTAAACCATAGCAGCTCCAAAGTCATGGGGACCACACCACAGCACCATTAATTTGGAATATCTATTAACCCCTTAAGGACACATGACATGCGTGACATGTCATGATTCCCTTTTATTCCAGAAGTTTGGTCCTTAAGGGGTTAAACATACAATATGAGTGGTATTACTGTAATGATATCCTTCACTATGTAATTAGTGTACACATCCCTAGGAAAAAGTCTGTTTTAAAAACCGTCTGATGCCAACTACATTCCTGTTTGGAGGACTTAGCATTCTGTCCTTTTTAATTTTTTTTTTTTTTTTAAATAGAATTAATATTTAACTTAAAATTTTGGTGATGCAATGGTCTCCTAGCTATTTTTTCTGAACCTTTGCTCACTGTATGCAAATCAAAGCTGTTTCCCAATAATTTATTGCATATTTGGCTTGTTAATCATTACTCAACATAAAATACTCCGGAACATAGTTGCATTTTATGGTCTAACCGGACCTTAAAAGTTGCTCACGTCTCCAGCTTGAGGAACTCATTTAACACTCAACATGGTTGATTTTCTACTCGTTATGGCTCAGTTTTACACTTGCCAATGGCTTTTTTTTTTTTTGATTATTTTTGGAGAGAGCGGGAGAGAACCAAATGAAGACAACACAAGTTATTATTCACTTTACTGAATCAGAATCAGGATAAATTTACAGTAGGATCAAGGTTTCCCCATTGTGGGACTGAAACGATGATTCTATTGTAAATGTACACTTAGTCCGCTTCAATAAAGCAGCATTATATTAAAGACAAACACCTGTGTTGTGCTCTTTTCACTTGGTTCTCTAAATTGTTTGGCCGGAGCTTAAACACCCAGGCAAGGATTATACAGCAGAGACGTTGCTCAAGTTAATATATCAAATATGTCTGTGTAGATATACTCTCAAGGTTAATATATATATATATATATATATATATATACATACACATTTATTTTTTTTGAAGGAAGAAAGGTGCACTCTACGGGTCTTTTCAATGTGATTTATTCAAATTATTGCATAAATTTTGTCACGGGACAAATTTGAATAAATCACATTGAAAAGACCTGGAGAGTGTACCCTTCTTCCTTCAACTATACATAAACGCGGGTTGCACCAAGGCAAGCTTTCTAAATGATATGTTACAAGGGGTGAGTGCCAAGTATATTTTAAAATAAATATGTATGTATGTGTAGATATAAATACCAATAGGCAAATTAATGCTTTTCCTAAATCCTTTGCTGTTATACTGCAGACAGTTGTGTAGACATTACATTTAACACAGCATTTCCTGTATAATCTGCACTGGTTTGTAATGTATGTTACAACATTTTTTGTAGACAGTGCAACTGACAGTAAAGACCTATTGCAGGCAAGTAATATAACTGCTACCTATTATTGTAATAGACTGTGCAGGTGCAGGTGCAGATCCCCCAGACTGGTAGAATTCTCTGGCTACCCAAAGCCCACCCCTTTGACTTGGTACATGAATTAAGTTCCACCTTTATCCTCTGCTCCTGATATCCAATGTGTGTTTTATCAGTTTGGCTCTATTATTATTATTTTATTTTATTTCTGACTGGAATTTATTGTTAATTTAGCTTTTTTTTTTTTACTTCCAGCGTTAGTCTCTCCTATTAGTCCGGCCATCATAAGGCCATGTAATACGTCTGACTATCCTTTCCTATTGTGCCTTTGGTTATGTTGCAGCTTTGCCTTTGTGAGAATCCCTTTTAATTGTGAGAAAGTGTATCTCCAAGCACAATGATCACATCAGTGATTTGAAGTGTTCATGGTGCCTGGAGTCTGAATATGAAGCTCAGCAGAAGCTGGTTTGTCCTGTTACATAGAAATTGGTCCAAGGTACTCCTAGCATCATAATATGTGAATATAACCTTTCAGATGCATAGCAAGGTCATGTGGTGCCAGGGCCAACTCCAAAAGGTGAGCCCCATCAAAATAGGTTTATCTGCCACTCACAGGTCAACCACATCTGGCTCCATACACACACTTGCTGGTACACACCAACGCACATGCACACATTTGTACTGACAGTCACACACACTGCCACAGAGATACTGTATCATACACACTGTGACACATACAAACACACATTGTTAACTACACAACACCCAGAATTAAGCATACCCCCTGTGGTGGTACATACCTTATCGGAGAGCAGGCCGGGGTCATTAGCTCAAGCGGCTTGAGCACTCCTGCCTTCACACGAACCGAACGGCTCGATCACTTCTTCTGAGCAGGCCACGTACGCTGACCGTAGCAAATGGTCACGCTGCCCTCCTCGCACGAAGAACGCAGCTTAGCCTTCCTGTGAAATTCATCCATTTCTGATTTGCAGTTTAGGTATTGAAGTTCAATAATAGAAACCAGGTACTCTTCTTAATGATGGTTGCTTTATATTATTATTAAATTAAAATTATTTGTCTGTTCCAATCATTTGGTTTTAACATGCCATTTAACATCTCATCTTTGCTCCTAAATATTGACACTTATTTTTGTGTCTAAACCTTGTGACTGTCTGGGCTTTGTACTATTTCAAATACCTCTTATACGTAGTGGTGTTTAGGCACCCAGTTTTTAAAAATTTTTTTTTTAAAGATTTTTGATAATAGAATATATGATTGGGTTGTGATTTGTACTTTCTTCCTTTATCTTTGATTACTATATTTTGTTTATTGACCTTTTTATACTTCCATGGCTAATCTCTGATGAGACTAGGGATATTTAGTAGAAAGCTTATTATTTGGTTTAATATTTCAATAATAGATGTCCTCGAAGGCACAGAAAGATGTTCTAAGGCTGTTCAAATATCATTGTTACTTTAGTCATTTAAAAAAGATTTTTTTTATGCACTACATTATTTTGATATACTTTTTTTCCACCTTTTTTGAAGCTTAGTTTATCTACTGTGCTGTCTATAGTAAGCACAGCAACAATTCCTCCTTGACTTTCATTTAGTTAGCAACTATATCTTGAGTAATTGCTACTATAACTTTTAATTTTGATACTTTGTTGCAAGAGGTTATCACTCAATTTGATGTAGCTGTTTGGCAATCACTTGTGATAGCTGTGTGTGCTATTCATTTAGAAATTGTAGTTTTTTTTTAATTTTATCTGCTGCTTACTATTTTACAAACAAACTAATAAAAGTTGTTTTCATTTTCCAAGTAACACTTTTTTGCTACACAACACACACTGTTACACAGAAATGTAAACCCATATTATTACACACCGTTAAAAACTGACACAGAGACTCATGCAATTAAAGAGCAGTGGCAGTTTCTCTTTAAACTGGACCTAACTTGCCAGGTTCAACTTTAGGTATAATAGTATCTTACGCAACGGCATAATTTATTATAAAGATACATTTTACACTTGGTTACTTTGGGAGCCGTTATTTGATTTGTTAATGTTACATTACCTGTTGGAGAGTAGCAATGTAATGCCTGTTGGAGGGTTCTCCTGCTCTTCCCTGTCACTCAGTTTGCCAGCTCTACCCTGTTACAATTCTTCCAGCATACAGAGATCTATGCTCAGGATAGACTGACAGATGAGTAAACACCACATTATTAAAGAGCATTAAATTAAAAATATAAATTTGTTTGCATTTCTGCTTGCACAACGTATAGAATTTTTAAAATGTTTTTTGGGTAGTGTGGAACTCCCCCCTTCTCCTATAATGTAAACGTATTTCTAATCCAAAGTGGGGACACACTTCCCACTGCAGTCTGATCCACATGGAGTATATGCAGCAATCTCCTTCAATTAGCCAATCTAATGCTTTTATAGGAGATAAACTAAATCTATTGGACTTATACAGAATCAGTGATCAACACACTTTACTGAAGAAGGTGTTAGTTGGCTGGTAGCCATTAGTAGACATGGAAACTTAAAAATATAAACAGTGTTTTTTTCTAAAAAATGACACTGTTTACAGCAACAACTCTGCAGGGGCTGCAATCATGCTCACAAATCACTTTATTAAGATGAAGTCATATTGGTGCTTAGAGTGTCCCTTTAAAGAATACAAGTTATAGAATGGAAAAGTTAAAAAAAAATGGGAAATTGGGGAGAAATACCATAAAACAAACACTATGTATATTGTTTTTGAAGAGTAGATGTTTTTTTTTTTTTACCTTTTACTGTGAGAATGTATTTATATATGAAACTTTCAATATATGCAAATATGGACCTTTTAGACTAGAATATAGCACCTCCACCACAGATCTAAGTAAATTCTTGTTGATTCTAGCAAAGTAATAGATGAAGCATGCCCTTCCTTATCGCTGTTATAAACAGAGTTATTTACTAACACATACCTGATTTTCTTTAAGTTTGGCCCTACATTTAAAATTAACGTTGAATGCACCTTGAATTCTCACTTTAAGGAAAGTTTAAATTAGTGCACCATTTTACATTCACATTGGAGACCTCAGCGGTTTTACTCCAGAAAACAGATCTCCATCTTCCTTACAGGGTTATTCGAGTGAGAACTGAAAGTGAAGATCAAATGTAAGACTGAGAAGAGGAACTGGGTGCTTAGAATGTTTAGAATACGTCTATTTTGACCTTAAATTTGAAATTCACATTGAATAACTCTGTTACTTTTAAACTCCTTGAAAATAATCACATATTCAGAGAAGCATATAATTTATCATCCCTGTAAAGAACTACACCATTTCCTGAAAGTCATCTCACCAAAACTACCTTTTCTGTCTCACCTTATCATTTTCCACACTAGCATCTGTTGCATAGATAAATCTGACATGTATCTTATCTCTCATATCTCCAGTTAATTCCCCCCCCCCCCGTTAGAATTCTCCCTTCCATTCAGTCCACACTCCTGTGATGGTTAATGTCTGATCTGAATCCCAGGAGAAGGGAGATACTCAACCTTCCATACATTGCAAACAAACAAGGTCTGGATTAAGATGGCCTGGTGAAAGTAATCTAAAACACAGACCAACTAACAGCTGGGAAACAGTATTACATTAATGCATTCAATGTTAGATAGCTGATGTGTCTGAGCTGTTGGGTGTAAGTGAAGATATCATGTGGTCAGGTCCAGCATGTAGGTTAGGCCAGCTGGCAAAATATTAAGGCCCAACATGCAATGTATATGGGGCTCAAGTGCAGGCACAGGAAAGGCAGGATGTTGTCATAGGAATGGTGGAAAGATCTAAAGAGGCACCATACAAGTTGACTGCATCATTATGGTCTTCATAAAGTGCATGTGTTGCACGAAATGCTTAGATTATGCTATTAGCATGAAGAAATTAACTTTTTTTTCACTTTAGGGTGTTCTATTACGATTTTAAATTTTGCTAATAAAAGATTGAGTTTTTAAGAACTTAAGTGATCTATTTTTTCCAGTTGGAGCCAAAACTTCAGGTTATGGGGTAGATAGCCAAGAAACTGATTGTAGCCTGCAAGTAACATTTTATTGAAAAACCTGAAGCTTTTCAAAGTAGTACTCTGAGTATGCCTGCATAATTTCTGCACGTGTGGATCAATGATGCATTATGTTGATTGGGATTTTTTATTTTTTATTTTTGTGATATGAGCACACCAGTTCATGTTATGGTTTTATTGCTTGTCTGTCTGATTCTGCCTGCTATAATTGACTATATACACCCTGTCTACCTGGTACTCACCTTCCCATTTGTTGCGATTATTGGCTGTCCTTTTAATTATTAGCACTGCAGTTTCCCTCACCTCCCCGTTATAATGATCCTCTGCAGATAGGGAGAGTTAAAAAAAGCATAACCAGATTTATGGTCTTTTGCCCAAAAATCTGATTGATTCGGATGAAAAATTGTGTGAATCACCCTCATTGGCTAACAAACACCATCTATTATTCCAATGTTTCCTTTTTGGGCAGTAATTAAGCTGCCCTAAAAGACAAGCCTGCCTAATGGGCTTTCATAAGGTGCTTGCACCAGGGGGTGGAGTTGGAAAAACTCCACTTCCCCCATTACAGCCTCCATTTTGACTCCATGTCTGTCCCTTTTAGCTCATTGAAATTGTGATTGAGCAGGAGGTTCTGGGTGATGTCTTACTTACAGTGATTAAATTATTTTGCAATGATTAAACCCCCAAAGTTGTAGTTCAGCCTACACCAGCCACCCTGCTAATCCATTTCTTATACTGTTATGGGTTAAGGGTAAGTTCAAGGGAAAAACATTTTACAACAAAGGTAACACAGTGCCTGGACATTTCTGCCCTAATAACAAATTTAACAAGCTGCAATTGTTATGGGATATGAGTGTTCTTTTAATGTTCCTCACTGTTGGAGATCCTTAGCGTTTCTAATATTGGCCAGCCTTTACTGGAAATTTTTAACAATGACTATAAGGTATAGAAAATATATACAACATGTATTGTGTGTGTGCACGGAGGTGGGGGGGAGAGGGAGGGGAAGGGGTCAGACATTAATTCACACTATTGACTGCAACAAGAAAATGTCAAAAAGATTCTCTCTCCTCGAGATGTGAGGTTGTTAGAACAGAAAGAATGCAGGATTTAATGTAAAACCTGTTATTCCAGTTTGTAGCGGTCTCTCGTCGGGTTATAGTATCCTACAAACACAGAAAAAAACAAGACGCATGGCATTTTTAATTTTACTTTCAAACAACTCTCAGACTAAGCCAGAGACAGCAAGGTTCAAAGGCAAAGCAAGCCATATTTATCTGGGACCAGAAGAAAATGAATGGTTTTTTACCATGGAACTTCAAAACAAGGTCAGGAATTGTGTATGAGATATACAGGGGTGCAAAGAGTTCTGGTATTTCGATTTAAACAGGGGTTTGAATATTAAAGAAGGTTATTTGTAATTATCTTTCTTAACTCGCAATATTTAATATGCAGCCTTTTGCACATAGATTTATTTTAAATTAAAGCCTTAAATAATAATTCTGCAGCATGGAGATGTTCTTATGTAAAGAATTGTAAACAGTATTTCGATTTGCACCGTTAGTGTTATTTTATTTCTATTATAAAGCACCTTTTAAAGCAATCTAGAATGCAACATAGGCTCGTGTGCAAGATAGAGAAAGCAAAAGTTAGAAAAAACGATAGGTGCTCTTGCCAAATTGAAGTAAATGTTGCTATTTTTAAAAAACTGACGTGAGTGAATGATGAACTATATAGATTTCCTCTAAAGTAGCTGCCAATTAAAGTCAAAACAATAACAACAACAAAAAACCCCACAAGAATAAAACAAGAAAATATATATTTGCAGGTACTCAGGATGGGAAAAACAGTAAAAATATGTGATAATACCCAATATGTCTATATACATATATTGGAAAAGGGACTCCCTTAAAGGGACACAATTGTGACCTGGACAACTACAGCTTAATTAAAAAAGGAGGAGTTAAGGGCTGCGCTATTAGACAGAGAACAGTACCATAAAAATAAGACCAAATGGTCAAAATAAACAGCAAACAATAAACCTGGTTATTACAGTCTCTATTACAACACCTTAAAAGAAGTAAGTAAAACAGAGTCCATCCAAGTGTTCAATAAAAAATGTTCAATAAAATTCAATAAAACCGTATCACTGATATATGGATAGGGTATGTGTACAATCCTCAGGAGTTGATCCGTCCGGGTTGTAGGTAATCCGTATATGTGAAAATAAGAAAACATGAAAAACTGCCAATGGTGAAATATAGTAGCTCCAAAGGTAGAATAAATAAAAAGGAGGATAGTACACTCACATTTGGTGGAGCTAGGACCAGCTCTAGGATGAAGGGCACTTAGTGGTATGATCCCCACTAAAGGGTGTACTGGAAAAGTGAGTCCGTCCATCTTTGGTTCCGTCGTACTCCACAAAATTTAAGAAACAGCAATAGTGCTCTCAGTAGGAACAATAAATAAAATAGGTAAAATAAAATACACTCACAATGGTAGAGCAGAAAATACTGCTCTGTTGCCATAGCGCTGGTGGAATTATCCCCACCTATGGATTTCTTGAAACAGGATACAATAAAATGCCAGGAAGAATAATAATAAAAGTGTATATAAAATAAATAAAAGATTGGTCCTATAAAGAAGGTAACCAAAAATTATTTTTTATTGCTTTAAAATACATAATATAAAACCATTTAACGCGTTTCACCTTTAAGGCTTTATATACACATATACGCATTCAAGTAACTGAGGCTTACGTGGAGCCTGGTCACTGGGAATAAATAGTTCGATCCTGCTGTGGCCCAATATTTGTGTCAGTGTTTGATTCATGGTTTATGGTTAGTTGGTGTATGAAGAAGTTCAAATAGAGAGTTCATCTCTGACAGCTACTGACCTTGGACAGTCGTTTCAGGGTGCTCAACTAGTATTTTAACTTGTCTAACTGGACAGAGGGACTTGTGCCTTTGCTGTGTATTGCAGGAAAGACGATGGAAAAGGTTAATTTGTTTTCATCACATTTGTAAAGAGACTTCCCTTTACTGGCCAACATAAAAGACCTTTAATTTATCCTTGTTAGTTTGAACTTTAACTAATGTGTTGGTGTTTAACAAGATTTTTGCCTGTTTACGTGAAAGCAGTTGGGAGAATACCCTTCTGAAAAGATGTGCTAATTCTGTAATGTCCACCTTGTTGAACAGGCACAGAATTTATAGGGTTATTACAAACAAAAAAAAACTGCTTTTTTATGAAACACTTTTTGGTTAGAACAACCTTTGCACTGCTTTTCTGTCCCCTCTCCTCCTAAAAAAAAAAAAATTCACTTATTCACCTTACATTTCCATTTCAGTTCTTCCTCAGCCCAATTTACCACACTGATGTCAAGGAGGGAGGGCTGAGGGGAGGAGATAAATACTGCACGTACAGAATCCAGGTACCCTGACCACTTCAAATCAGTGTAGTGGTCATGGTGCTTGGAGTAACCCTTTAACATTCTGCCACCTCCATCTATCTTCTATACTGTTTACAAAGGTTCATTTTTTGCTAATCACTTGTATTAAATATACCTGTTCGTCTTGTGAGACCTTCTCACATTTCTCAAAATTCAATCAGTGTGAAAAATGTAAGGGCCTGGAAGAGTTTTCTTAGTAGCTTAAGTCTCTGTTTAGTTCCTTGTTCACTGTTAAAAGTGTGCCTCCTACACTCCGAAATAATAAACAAAGCAGAGGAAAACAGTGACCGATCTAAATAATAAAATCTATAGTTTGCAATTTATTCCACACGTATAGGCATTAAAACACATGTAAGGCGGCTTGAATCAGCAATCAGAGACTTGCACTTCCGATCAGCAATCAATCTAAACGTTTCGTACAACGTACTTTGACTAGACTGAATAATGGAACACTCCTCTCCACCTTATATGTCAAAAAAGGGAACACCTGAAGGCAGGCAAAGCACCGCTCTACCTTTTTAATAAAGACATGTCCCACAGCTGTTTTGTTACTTAGACTTTCATTATTAGATTTCCTTGTGATTGTTTTACCCATTGATTTTTCTCTGAATGAATATACTCTTGAGGAAATCCAAAGAAGAAATACTTTGAGCCTGCATCAACAGAGTTTGTGATACGTTGCTGTTTGGCCAGAATGTATTGTCTTTCGGTGTTTTTCAGACCATACTCTGTTTCCTGTCTGTTTATTATGCATAATTATTTGATTGCTGCCTCTATGGGCTTCCCAGAGTTTTTAATGCATTTTTATAGTAGCATGTTAGTGTGTGCAATTTGTATTTATCTCCTTTTTTATTTGTGGCTGATAGATCAGATGAGCATTGCTACTTTTTATATAGAGGTAGAAATTTGAGAAACTCAAATTAATTTTAAAACTCTGTGCTGTTTTCTGGTGAGTTCTTATCTATGCATATGTTTTTTTGAATCACACTGTGTGAAGTTTGACTGGACTTTAATGGCTTTTTTTTTTTTACATGAGAAAGAAACTGCACTCAGCCAAACAGTTTTCTTCAGAGCCAGGGTGCAGCTGGACCAGGACCCAGCACCCAAATCTCAATAATATAGGAAAAAACGAAAAGGTCCAGGCACTTCCAAGGTTCTTTTAGTGGCAATTTTACTATCAGGTCGAAACGTTGTTCTGGGTTACTGGTTTCCAATAAAAATTGCCACTAAAAGGACCTAGGAAGTGCCTGGACCTTTTTTTTTTTTTCTCCTATTTAAATGGCGTTTTTGAACTTTTTAGCTATTTATAGAGATGAATGATATAAAAAAAACCTGTTTTGTTTTGTTGCATCAGCATTGATCTCAACATTAAGGTTATCGATTTCTATTATTTGATCTGTGAAAATGTGCCGTTACGTATGTGGTTTATACTCCAATATGGGCCATAAAGCCAGAAAAGGGAAATTATACAAAATAAAAACTTTATCTTTAATTATGTTTAATGTTTTTACAATACTATTTTGTTACTGCAGATTTTGCAATATTTAAAATATATATTTAAATATAGTGACGATATTCTCGACCTTGCTAAAGTTGTATGGATTGCAAGCAAAGTTAGCGAAGATGTTTGTTGTGCACATTCTGCTGTGTTAACCTCTCAACGCTGTTAGGACGTGTCATTCCTGGGCCACCATACGGTCTCAAAGGCAACCAATGGCCCTAAAAACTGATATGAGTAAGCTGTTTATTTGAACTGTAACTTTCCAAAATCTCATAAAACCTGTACATGGGGGGCCTGTTGTACCCGTGGGACATTACAGCATACAAGTATGTGTATTTTATTGCAGTAAAGGCTAATGGTATTATAACATTCACAGTTAAAATGCCATGCAGAACTTGGAAAATAAAATTTCTTAATTTTTCAATCTTTTTTTCAAATTAGCAGATGTGCAGTAAAGGAAGGCTGTGCAAGTCACATGCAGGGGAGGTGTGACTAGGGCTGTATAAGCTAAGTGATTTAACTCCTAAGTGGCAGAGAATTGAGCAGTGAGACTGCAGCGGCATGATCTATACCCCAAAACCGCTTCATTAAGCTAAAGTTGTTTTGGTGCTTATAGTGTCCCTTTAAAAATGATGGCATGATAGGCTTATAAATATTGTCAGGGATAATTTCGCACCTATTTTCTTGTGAAGTATTCCATTAAATAAGAAGTGACATATTAAACGTAATTGTGTTTGTTCAGTTGCTGCACTAAATTTTCTTCTATTTTGTTCCTGAGACATCTGCTGCGCTTGCTTTCTGTTTTTTTTTTTTTGTTTCTTTTTTTAGATGTCCTCATCTTTCTGTGCCAGCATCTCTTTAGTTTCATGAAAGACGTAAAATTCTATTGAGTTATTATTTATTTTCCTTTTTTTTTTTTTGGTGAAATCTCTATTTCTCACTTGTAACAAGGGGTAATCCCTGAAAATGCAGTGATTATACTTTGTGCTCCCACAATATAACATGAAGAAAAGGATGAAGACCATAATAAATATTCCTGGTCAGTGTTTAATTTCACTCCAGTATTCAATAGAGTGAGAATTCACAGTGAATGAAAAGTGAATTTAAAATTTAAGCTCAGAAATCAGCTATGCTTTTAGATCCTCTGTCCACACAATCTATGGGGCCCCGGTGCAAAACTGATCTATGCCCCCTCCGCCGACAGACACACACACATCATACAGACCCACACATACAGACATACATAATACAGACACACACAGGCACATACAGACAGAGGGACACACACATACACACAGACATATACATACACCCACACAAGACACACATACATACAAAGACACACAGACACACACACATACACACAGACAGACACACATACATACAGACAGGCACACAGACACATACACATACAAACAAAGACACATATACAAAATGTTTGTCACCCTCCTGTTTCCTACCTTTTAGGTGCAGGAGGGTGACCTTCCTTGGGGTCCAGTGGTGGCCCAGGTTGATGGGAGTCAGAGTTCCCACTGCGACCCTTATATGTACGCCACTGTCTGGGGTTTACCCACTTGCTCCACATGTTCATTCCCCATTGGTCTCAATATGCCTAGATTTGAGTGATAATGAAGCTCACATTCCATTGTTGGTGATGGGAAAGAGAAGATAGCAGTTAGATGTTAATGTAAAGGTTAAAATAGTTGGGGTTATTCACTAAACACCAGATTTGAGCAAAATGAGAACATTTCGACTGCATTAATAATCTTTATATTTATTAAAGTGGAAAATGTATTCATACTTACCGTAATTTTCTTTTCCTGGCTATTCTTCATGGCAGCATATACACATGGGTTAGCTCCTCCCCTACAGCCGATAGGACAGGAAAACCACCAAGGTTTTAAAAGGAGGCTCCATCCCAAAGGTCCTCAGTCAGTTTACAAGCTCTACAGTACATAAATAGAGACATTAATGGGTGGGAAGTATATGCTGCCATGAATAATAGCCAGGAAAAGAAAATTACGGTAAGTATGAATACATTTTCCACTTTCCTGGCTAATCATGGCAGCATAAACACATGGGGAATACCCAAGCTTACAAAGGGAGGGACAGAATAGCCAATCAAATAATCAGAATAATTCAATATAGAAGAATGCTGCAACCGCATGAGAGGAGAGTGCCCTGATACACTCCAGCACAGGTAGAGAACGGACATGACATCCAAATTGTACCTCATTCATTTCTTCAATGTGCAGGACAAACTACTTCAAAGAGGTCCAAATGCCAACTTTACAAAGTTTCAGCAGAGACCATTGCCATGGAAGCCCACGAGATGCTGTACCAGCACTAGTGGAGAATGCCCCAAAATCCTTTGGTACAGGTAGAGAATGGCATTGAAAGGCTCTCACTTTAGGTAGGATCTCCGGTGCTACATGCAAGACAACCATATCCTGTTGAAATCCAGTGAATGGGAGTACAGAGGATCAAGCCTGGAGTTCACACATTTACCCTGCTGAGGTCACCAGCAACAGCAACATCTGAGCCCGTGAGACCAGTGGTACGTCACATATTGGTTTCAACACCCTCAGTGGAGGCTTGAGTTCAGTTGTTGCTTACATGAAGCAAAGCACCAGGGGCATCAACGCTCAATGAGTACCCTTCAGTACAGGTAGAAAATGACATAGATCAGCATTCACTATAGGCAGGATCTTCAGGTGCCAAATGCAATGACCATATCTGTTGAAAAGTAGTGAAAGGGGGTTCATAGGATCAAGCCTGGAGTTCACCCATTTTCCTTGTTTGGGTACCAGCCACCAGCACTTTCTGTGCTACCACCATGGAAGCTCCTTCTAGAGGTTCTAATAATGGTTTAGTCAGGGCCCGTGAGACCAGTGGTACGTCACATATTGGCTTCACCACACTCAGTGGAGGCATGATTTCAATCAATGCTTATATGAAGCAAAGTGCAGCTAAGTGCTCCTCTAGAGTGTTATAACACAGAACCGTTCAAGGCCTGAACGAGGAGAAATTCCAACAGACAAAAGCATGTCAAGCTTTGTAAAGCCTGTATAGAATTGTGAAAGGATCTCAATGACCGTCTCAGGGATGCCTAAACTAATATGGGCTCCCGCATCAACACCAGAACTTGAGGATCCTGGTGTGTCAAAGGGCCTTGTAATAGGTCTGGATGTACTGGAATTTCCTTTGGAGGTTCCAGAATCATTTTATCCATCATAGGAATTAGAGTCGACACGGTCTTCCACTGTCACCTTTTGCATTGCCTTTATGGAAAGTCGAAAACAGGAAAATATGTACATCAGACTAAAATCCTAAATTTGAGTCAGTGTATCCTGAACCTGAGCATTCTGGTCCTAGCATGTAGAAAATACTTCTGGACCTGGTAGTTCCAAGAAATGGCCATCAGATCTATGTAGGGTATCAGACAAATCTGCGTCAACCCCGAGGATACGTCGGAGCATGGTTGCCAATCCATCTTGTCCACAGTTATTCGGCTCAAGCAAACAGCCATTGTATTCTGAGCCCCTGGTTGTTCTTCTGTGCCCTGATCATTATGGGCTGGAATTCCATCAATACGTATATGTGAGACCCATCTTGATAGATATAGGATACAGTTGCATTGATATTTGAGCAAATTTGGACCCACTCGTTCTTCAGCAAGCCTCTGAAGTGAAGAAGAGCCTTGAAAATGACTCGTAATTCCATACAAATTAATGGAAATATTGTGCAACATGGTTCAAACACTGTGCAACCAATGTTATAAAAACTGTAATTCGAGCTAATAATTGACCAATGAGGTTCTGTTCACTGGAAACAGATGTAATCCCTCTTTTCAGCTATCAGGTAAGGTGTAACTCCACTGATGGGGACATAGTCAGTGGCTGGCTCCAATAATCTTTCTCTTGTTAGACCAAGATAGGAAGGGTCTGTGAGGAATCCAGAGATGCCATTGGGCCCAAATGACAAGTCTGCTGGTGGAAGCCAGGATTCCTAGTAGTTGCATCTATTTTCTTGCTGTTACCAAGCAGAAATGAAGAAACTGAGAGAGAAAACCTTCACAATCTGAGGAACTGTTCCTGAGATAGGGAATAGCAGAGCATAGAATTTTCCACTCGGGAATGTCAACCACTGAGCTGGTGTGAAACTGCTTTTCTTCATATTCATCAAGCAGCCAAACTTTAGGAGTTATGAAAGAGCTATATACCTCTGTGTGCCTGCCTTCTGAGGGTCTAAGGCTATCAGAAGTAGATGCTCCAGACCTCACATATAAAGATTCTATAGGGCACTAACTTGGAAGTTCTCTTCTGAGCTAATGCCCAAGATCTCTGCAGATTGGACTGAAAGTAAGCATCCTTGAGAGATATAGAGGTAAGGAAATTATCCTTCCAAATTGCTTGAGATATGGATCTGATTGACTCCATCCCGAAGATTCTGACATTCAGCCTCTTGTTGGCCCCTCTTCGGTCCAGTGTAGGCTTCCATGTGCTTTTCCTCTTAGCACCAGAAGAGAGGCGAAACTTGTCCCTGGAACTGCTCTTGTTCTGGGACCTAAAAAAAAATCACCTCTTCGTCCAGAAGGCTTCTTCCTTCAGTGCTTTACCTTTTGATTCTTGGTCTAAATACTCCTCTTGGTATGGAGACTCCTGTGCCTGAAGAAAAAACTCCAGTCTATATCAATCTGGACTATGGATACCACTCAAGCCTCCAGAGTATGACGAGCCCAGGTATGTGTGATCAGAAAAATTAGGCTCCTAGTACTGGAGGAGACATGTTCAGTGCTGAAGAGCAAAACGTCTGCTTAATAGCTCCATTAGAACCTTGAAAGGCAGGTTTACCAATTGCCATGAGTTACCTCTGGAGTATTCCTTGCAGGGTCAGTAGCTCCATGTATCTCAGAAATACTGGTCACTGGAGGTTCTCCGGTCAGATTATGAGGAGCTGGGATCCTTGGAACTTCCGTCCTGAGGTACAAATATCTTGCAGCCCTCATTTGCCTTTTCAATGGAATTATCCAAAGTTTTCCCAAACAGCACCACCCCTTCAAATAGATGGTACAGAGGAAAGACTTGGAGGATGAGTCATCCATCCGAGAAACAGAAACATAATGCTTTCTTAGCTGCTATAGATAAAGCCATTTGATCCAAAGAATATCCGAGTTAGATCTAGGGAAGTTTCTGTGAAGAAGTCAGTTGTAACCTGAAGACTTCAGACTGCCTCTTCAATCTTGAGTTTTAATATCTCTCTCCATAGTTACCTTTAGATCTTTAATCACATATTTCATGTTTGTAGAAACAAAAGCGGAAGTCACAGCTGGCTGGCCTCCTGCAATGGTAGGCGTAAAATCTTGGACAGGTCTGTGTCCACCTATGATCCATAAGTTTGCAACTTAGGTGGTGTAGTTCTGGGCTTGGAAATAACTTCCTCCACAGGGTAAAGCCTGGCCTCTTTTCTTACCCCTAAGGCCTCTGGAACTTACTTTGTAAGCCCTGCCCGCATGTCATGTGGCTGCACAGTGACAGGTCATGCTGAAGCGACAACCTTCTGGAGGCAGTCCGTGCATAACCGATTCCTTCCACTGTACTGCAGTTTCCAATGACTTGCGGTATTACATGCAACAGTATTAAATGCAAATTTAAATGAAACAGTTTTAAATGCCACACAGCTTAAAAGCAACACAGTTTAAATGCTTCCTATTAAAAGCACAAACGCATAATGTACCACAATCTTAAAAATAAGGTACAGCTGTATAATGCACTAGTTTAAAGATATCAAAGCTTAAATGCATCACAGCATAAAAGCACAACTGCATAATGTACTACCATAAAACAGGCAAATAAAGTAATGAAGATAAAAAAACCATACATGTCCGTAAGTAAAGCGAGCAAATTGCTCACATCCTAAGGGCTGTAGGACAGGAAAAAGACTGAGGACCTTAGGGATGGAGCCTCCTTTTAAAACCTTGGTGTTTTTCCTGTCCTATCGGCTGTAAGGGGAGATGCTAACCCATGTGTATATGCTGCCATGATTAGCCAGGAAAGCCAAATATGGTCAGAAGTCAATCTCACCGAGCAAATTTGTAGCAATTGTCTGGCTGCCTAGTCGCTAGTTTTAAATGTTAAGTAGATATGCCCTGACAAGGTAGAATACATCCATATTAGTAATATAGGTGTCTTTTCGACACCCACATTATTTTTTATTTTTGCTCTAAACGTTTTTTTAATGTGGTGGCTTGCTAGTATGCACTGGCCAGCCGCCGCATAATTAACCCATAATTGCACCGCCAACGGCTTTTAACTAATTGCGCAGTGGCTGCGCTGCAAGTGTTTTTAATTTCGTGCATGGACTTGCACAATTCAGAGTATGAAATGCAAAATACGGACATTGTTAAATAGCGTGACCAATGCTCGGATTTGGCGGTTTGAATGGAAGCAAAACCATCCGGCTGCATACAGGGTCATTCATACCACAAAATCCGAGCACTGTTTGTGCTATTTAACAATGTCTATAACCATAGGCGTGCGCACGGGGTGTGCCGGGTGTGCCTGGGCACACCCTAATCCCCGTGGCACGCCTATGGTTTGAGTCCTGCAGGAACAGCGTTCCTGCACTTTGTTTGAGCAGGAACGCCGTTCCTGCAGGCACTCAGCGCCCCCCGTCTCACCTCTTGCCCCTGTCATGGGGGGGGGCAAGAGGTGATGGTGATGGATTACCCCCCGCTCCAGCTCAGCGCGCGGCAAGGGAGCTCTCTGCTGTCTGCTGTCTGCTGTCTGCTCCCTCTCGCCGCGCGCTGATGGGAGCAGAGAGCAGAGAGCTGAGCTGGAGAAAGGCGCCCGCCCCCACTGGACCCCAGGGACAAGTCCACCAGCACTCCAGGTAGGAGGCTGGATGGACATTGCTTTTTATTAAAATATAATAATTTGTTCTTGTGTGTGTGAGTGTGTGTCTGTGTGTGTGAGTTTGTCTGTGTGTCTGTGTGTGTGAGTGTGTCTGTGAATGTGTGTGAGTGTGTCTGTGTGTGTCTTTGTGTCTGTGTGTGTGTGTCTGTATTTGTGTGTGTGTCTGTGAGTGTGTGTGTGTACGCATATATATACACACACACAGAGCCGGCGTTATCTGAGTGCCGGCTCTGCTCTAAGCCTCCATGGGCCGGCGGGGAGACCAAAGATCTACCTCACCGGCCCACAGCAGCATGGAGGGAGGCAGGAGAGGACCCAGGGAGCTCTAGACAGAAGCTCTGCCAGGTTCCTCTCGCGATATCTGAGCATTGCTGCGGCAACGCTCAGATCTCGCGCGAGTTAACTCCCTCCAAACATACAGCACACACACATACAGCACCTACACACATACAGCTCACACACACACAGTACACTAACCGCACCCTCACAAACACACATAGCACCTTTAAAAAAAACAACACCGTCACACACAGCACACTAACAGCACCCTCACAAATACACGACACTCACACAAACAGCACCCTCACAGGACAAACATACACACACAAACACCCTCACACACAAACAGCACAGTCACAAACACACACACACACACACACACACACAAATACCCTCACATCACACTAACAGCACCCTCACACACACATCACACTAACAGCACACACAGCAGTGTATGTGTGTGTGTGTATGTATCTATATATATATAGATACACACACACACACACACACACACGGCGGGTGTTTGTGCTTTAGGGTGCACACCCTAATGCAATAGGCTGCGCACGCCTATGTCTATAACACCACATGTGTGTGTGTGATGCACACATTTCATATCATTTTACCTAAATGCTCCTTGTTTAAATATGTTTTATATCAGAAATAGTAGGAACTCACACAGCACTTCATTGTATTACATAGACTCCGTCTTTATCTTCAAGCTCCCACCTTTGGATTCCGGAAGGTATAGGGAATCCCAGACGGAATTCTATGTATATCTTTTTTTACTCTGTTTTCCTTTTAAATAAACATTATTCATGCATATTATTATATGGCCATAAACCAACTTTTATTCCATATGTAAGACATTCCGTATCTAATATGGTATTTGAGCATGAGAATGTATTTTCTGAATGGATATTATAACTTTTTTTTTTATTGGTAACCGTGTGGTAATCTCTTTGTCCTCAGGTGTTTCACATCTATTTAAATATACACTATTAGGCGTGGGCAGCTCTATACTGCTATGTAAGCAGGGGAGCTCTGTGTTTTTATAGCTGACAATGTACTACCAGTAGAATTACTGGAACAAGAGAAAGGAACTTGTGTCGTTTTGTACTTAAGGAGTTTATCTCAGAATAAATATGAAGAGGAAATCCTTTACTGTTATCAGAGTCTGCACTCTGTCTTTTGGGTGCAAATTCATCCTTGAATTTATTTTTGAATAATATTGGCCCACGTCAGTTTACACAGAATTTTATGCAATGTACTTAAGGGTGATGCTTTTGTTAAATGGAATTGGAAAAGGAATTGTTCAGAAGTATTTTGAAAGAAAAGGGAAGTAACCTTATGACTAAAGCATTTCATAGAGCAGTCTTTGTTCTCCCCCTCCTACTATTGAAAAGTTTATTACATGTAATAGGGGTTATGGGAGCTGTGTGTCTCATGACATTTCCATTGTACGGTTGCATTGTGGAAATTTGTGTCAGGGGAGATATTTGTCAGTGACAGTTGCACTACATAGCCAGCAACTGCAACTAAGCAAACCACAAAAAAACTAAACAAAACAAAAACCTTAAAGTTGCATTTTTTTTCAGTTTTCTTTCTTTATGCTCCTTGTATCTTAATTATTATACTTCTCTCTTTGTCACTTGCCATTATACTTGCTATCTTTTCTTCCTTGCACCTGATTGTAATAACTGTGCGCCTCCATTTTGTTCTCCTCTGTCCTTGAGGTCTGCAATTTGCCCTACTATTGTGTTCTCATGACTGATGGGTTTTGTGTAACCCCTTAAGGACACGACATGTGTGACATGTCATGATTCCCTTTTATTCCAGAAGTTTGGTCCTTAAGGGGTTAAGTTAGCTTGGCAACTTTAAGGCCCACCCATTGCCAAAATTTGCCAAAGCCCACGCTCCCAGGCTGCTTCTTATGTCGAACTAAAAAAAACTGATATTTGAAAAAAATAAAAACAGAGAAAAAGAGGGACAAACTAGGATTAAAGGGACACTATAGTCACCAGGACAACTACAGTTTATTCAATTTGTTCTGGTGTGTAGAATCATTACCTTCAGGCTTTTTGCTATAAACACTGTCTTTACAATGAATATGCAGTGTTTACATTACAGCCTAGTGATAACTTCACTGGCCACTCCTCAGATGGCTGTTAGAGATCCTTCCTGGGTCATGGCTGCCTAAAATGCATCCAAACATTCAGTCTCTCCTCCCTCTGCATGCAGACACTGAACTTTCCTCATAGAGATACATTGATTCAATTCATCTCTGTGAGGAGATGCTGATTGGCCAGGGCTGTGTTTGAATCATGCTGGCTCTGCCCCTGATCTACCTCCTTGTCAGTCTCAGCCAATCCTATGGGGAAGCACTGTGATTGGATCAGGCCACCACTTCTGATGATGTCAGCAGACTGCTTGTTTTTTTTTTTTTTTTTTAGGCAAACAGCATGCAGAGTTACAGCTTCTGGCTTGAATACAGTAAGATGTTGCTATATTTATGGAGGCATGAGGGGCCCAGGGGGGCTAGATGGTGGTGTTAACACTATAGGGTCAGGAATATGTTTGTGTTCCTGACGCTATAGTGATCCTTTAATTTGACAGCAAAGCTTGCAAAGTGACAAAGTTGCTTCAATAATTTCTCCAGTGGCATTTTTGAGTTACTTTATATTTGTTATAAACTCCAGAAAAATTAATACACAGTCATCTGTCTGGTTTTCTAACTATAACGTAACCGTTACCAAGAGCACTTACATTAGTTTTGTCAGCAGATTCTTGTTTTATTACTCAGTTGTGTGTGTGTGTGTCTGATACTTGTACAAATGAATAGAAATTGCACAAGGGTTTGTATGACCTATTTAATTGGACCATAAAAATTCAACGGTTCAGGAGCATAATTGTCTGCAGTTGGTAGGCAGTGGCTTAACCACCTTGGCTGCGACCGGGCTGTTACTCCAGGGGGTCTGGCCACACTGTTGACCCCTGCAACCGATACACATAGAGGGACTAGGGAGTATAATGAGACACATGGTGGGATTGGGGGGATGAGACGCATGAAGGAGGTGGGGGGAAAATGAGACACATGGAGGGGCTGGAAGAGATGAAGAGACACATGGAGGGGATGGGTGGAGAATGAGATGGAGGATGATGAAACATGTGGGGGTGGGAGGAGGCAGAATATTTTTTTGCATGGGGGGTGTTGGTTTTTAGTTATGCCTTTGGTGGGTCTGCAGTCTGAAGTCAGGCAAGAAGCAAGCTACAGGTTAATTCCAAAACTTGATGAGCAGCATTTTAGACACCTTTACTTGAAATGGTTGATTAATGTTGTAATGTGTAAGAAGAGTAGTAAAAAAAAAAGAAAAAAAAATGTGGTTCAGAAACATAGAATGTGACGGCAGATAAGAACCATTCGGCCCATCTAGTCTGCCCAATTTTCTAAATACTTTCATTAGTCCCTAGCCTTATCTTATAGTTAGGATAGCCTTATGCCTATCCCACGCATACTTAAACTCCTTTACTGTGTTAACCTCTACCACTTCAGCTGGAAGGCTATTCCATGCATCCACTCCCCTCTCAGTAAAGTAATACTTCCTGATATTATTTTTAAACCTTTGCACCTCTAATTTAAGACTATGTCCTCTTGTTGTGGTAGTTTTTATTCTTTTAAATATAGTCTCCTCCTTTACTGTGTTGATTCCCTTTATATATTTAAATGTTTCTATCATATCCCCCCTGTCTCGTCTTTCCTCCAAGCTATACATGTTAAGATCCTTTAACCTTTCCTGGTAAGTTTTATCCTGCAATCCATGAACCAGTTTAGTAGCCCTTCTCTGAACCCTCTCTAAGGAATCAATATCCTTCTGAAGATACGGTCTCCAGTACTGTGTACAATACTCCAAGTGAGGTCTCACCAGTGTTCTGTATAATGGCATGAGCACTTCCTCTTTCTACTGCTAATACCTCTCCCTATACAACCAAGCATTCTGCTAGCATTTCCTGCTGCTCTATTACATTGTCTGCCTACCTTAAGTCATCAGAAATAATCACCCCTAAATCCCTTTCCTCAGATGTTGAGGTTAGGACTCTATCAAATATTCTGTACTCTGCCCTTGGGTTTTTACGTCCAAGATGCATTATCTTGCACTTATCCACATTAAAATGTCAGTTGCCACAATTCTGACCATTTTTCTAGTTTACCTAAATCATTTGTCATTTGACTTATCCCTCCTGGAACATCAACCCTGTTACATATCTTAGTATCATCAGCAAAAAGACATACCTTACCATCAAGACCTTCTGCAATATCACTAATAAAAAGAGAATAGGTCCAAGTACAGATTCCTGAGGTACCCCACTGGTGACAAGTCCAAGCTTCGAATATATTCCATTAACTACAACCATCTGTTGCCTGTCACTCAACCACTGCCTTACCCATTCAACAATATTGGAATCCAAACTTAAAGATTTATAAGCCTTCTATGTTCAACAGTGTCAAAAGCCTTACTGAAATCTAGGTAAGCAATGTCTACTGCACCACCCTGATCTATAATTTTAGTTACCCAATCAAAAAAATCAATAAGATTAGTTTGACATGATCTCCCTGAAGTAAACCCATGTTGTCTCTGATCTTGAAATCCATGTGTTTTTAGATGTTCAACAATCCTATCCTTTAACATGGTTTCCATCACTTTCCCCACTACTGAAGTAAGGCTTACTCTTACAGAAGGGATAGATGTGAGACAATGCGGGAAAAAGAGTTCTGAAACATGTGCGGGCAGTGTAAAAAATCATAGTGAACAAACAAAAGACTTATTATAATTGAAGTTTATGAGAATTAAAGGACCACTATAGTGCCAGCAAAACATACTCATTTTCCTGGCCCCTCACCCTCTGGGTCCCCCTCCTGCTGGGGAGGAAGGGCTTAATCCCTTACCTTTTTTCCAGCGCCGGGCTCCCTCGGCGCTAGAGAGTCTTCTCCTTCTTCTGCCGTCATCGGCTGAATGCGCATGTGCGGCATAAGCCGCGCGCGCATTCAGCCAGTCTCATAGGAAAGCATTCTCAATGCTTTCCTATGGACGGTGGCGTCTTTTCACTGTGAAAATCACAGTGAGAAGCGCAGAAGCGCCTCTAGCGGCTGTCAATGAGACAGCCACTAGAGGCTGGATTAACCCATAGGTAAACATAGCAGTTTCTCTGAAACTGCTATGTTTACAGCAGAAAGGGTTAATCCTAGAGGGACCTGGCACCCAGACCACTTCATTAAGCTGAAGTGGTCTGCGTGCCTATAGTGGTCCTTTAAGCTTATAGGTTACTGTGCATAAAAGAGCACTAGAAAGAGTAAAACTGTAGTCTCATGTGAACTCAAGAGATAGTTTCTCAGCCGTGGTGTGGTATGAATGCCCGTGAGTAATTATGGGGTGTGTAGCTCTATATGGGAGGTGTTAAAGAAAATATTGTTTATTAAAATAATGCATTCACATCAAGCAAAAGTATACTTTGGAAACCAAGAGACCACTTAGAGGCCTCTGGAATAGTTTGAGAAAAGAAATAGGGCTCTCATAGCACCCATAGCTTGACACCTTTTTATCTGTTCTGACAAGGCGCAACTTACACATCCACACTATCACTGTTGATCTCTTATTTAATCAGTGTTTTGCGGCTCATGAATAATGATGTACAATCTGAGAAGTGGTAAACTATATTTTTTTTCTAAGCTTTTTCTTGTTTTTTTTTCTTGTATATTTTATTTAAATGTTTTTCTTGAATTCTTACAGAAATTACTTCCCGTTTCCAGATATGAAAGACAGTTTTGTTATGGTTGCCAACTTGCCATGGAGCAATTAAACTTATACCTAATACTGATGTGTATGCATGTATATATATATAATTTATATTTACATACACGCCAAAAGCCGTTCTATAAAAACGTTGTTTTACGTCCTATGTTGCCTTGAGCAGTGGGTCCCAAGTATCAAGGTACACTGTATGTTAGGTTGATTATGAATGCACCTTGGAACAGGACTGTGATGTCCCTTAATTCTAAACCACACGGTGAAAGCACCATAACCACTACAGCTCATTATCAAGAGCGATTTAAACAAACTAGGCTGATAGTGCTGGGGCAGATATCGGCTAAAATTAGACAATTTCACTTATGCTAAGTTATATTTAAATAATGCAGTAACTTAGATTAAATCCTTAAAAACATAAAAATAATATCACAACAATCATGTTCAACAAACAAAACCAGACAGAAGGCTTGTGATTTAAAAGCACATTTTCTAAAAATGAAAGCAATTCATTATACAGGATGATGCCTAATTAGATGATGTTATTCAGCATATTAATAAAGATACATGTAGGACAATTTTTCAGCGGCGTGGAAAAAATCCGTTATATTAACATAAATATCTTAACTTTTTGGGTAAAATTGTAGGGAATTCTTAAGGGATTTTCCTGTAACATGAATGCATGTGTTTTTTGTTTTTTTTTGTTAATAATGCAGCAAATCACACAAATCAAAAAATAAAGCAATCACTCCTTCCGTTGCATCCCAATAAATATGGAATTGAATCAATGGATTCTAGTAAACATTGCCTAAAGAACAATTAAAAGTTTTGGCACTAGTTTTCTCCTTGCTCCCACCAAGCATTTCGAACATCTCGGGGACTCTGTGAACTTGTCATATTGTAGATGTTGCTAATTGTGAGGATAAAGATGATGTTTAATCACCATCAAGAAAAAAAAAAAAAAGAAAAAAAAAATATATATATATATATATCTACATTTCTTCTGACATTTTTGAAAAAATTTTTTGGGGAGGGGTGCTTTGGCACGTTTGTTTCTTTCTCTTCTAGAGTTAGATGTTAAAAATTTATAGAAGAATTATAGGATGGTGCACATTAGATATAGGTTATGTCACAAACTCTGCTCTGTATGGATGCCGCCCTGGCACACATGATAACGATGTGCATCATCCTGGCATAATTAATGACTCGGACCATTCCAGTCCTTTTTAAATTTATACTTCCTCTGACTTGTGCCATTTTTTGGAGCCATAGCGGTCCACATCATTTTAGTGATTTAATGCACTCTTATATTTTGGTATCATTATTAACACCAGTCAACGGTGTACTTTTTGGCAATATTGATGACCATGACACAATTTGCTAAGTATCCTGTTGTGGTCTTACCTACCCAAGAAAGTTAGTGGTTATTAGTGGTTGTTTAAGTTTTTTACGTGTCCATGCTTCTGGATTATCTGACATCTAATTTATTTGTTCTTTGTATTTTTAATGCTTGTGTCTACCTCTGTAACCCTCAACCCAGTAATGGGGCAAACTGATTTGAGACCTCTTATCTGGTCCTGCTGGTCACTAAGTGTCCATGCTTGTTGGCTATGATGCTGATCTTGCTGGCCATATTTTGGTTGAGACCAACAGCTGAACGCTATTATCCAATTATTGCAGTATTGCAGAATTTAAATTAGCTGACGCCTGAATGATACTTTTTCCTCCTGTGGCAGCAATGGCTATAGTTAGGGGGACCAGATCCACTATGTTTTCGGGGTCACATATAATTTTATCATATTCATGAAAACGCATGAAAAGGGTCGCCCTGCCTTATGCATAATACATATTCTGCAGGATTCTTCATTGCCTATACATGTATTAATTGCCTAATTATATGCCTTCTTTGGAATTCTACATACTACAAGGCAACCCTTTTCATGTGTTGCCCATCAATATGTATATGTGATATGTGTCCCTGAAAACACAGTGGATATGGTTTCTCTAGCTATAGCATCAATCATCTAAATAGAACAAAAGTTACCCGTGGACTCTCCCCAATCCTTTTGCACATTTAAATAGCAAGGTTTTTAGTAATGCTGTAATGGACATAAAAGTGTAAGTTCACCTACAGCGGCAAAGAAAACCTTTTGCTGTATTCAATTAAAAGGCAAAGTCTGTAACAATACAGAAAGGGGTATTTTTAAATGAATTCCTACACACTTAAGCTGTCAGTCTATCAATGCAATCCAGGTTGGACAAAACTAACCTTAAAGGACCACTATAGTGCCAGGAAAACATACTTGTTTTCCTGGAACTATAGTGCCCTGAGGGTGCCCCCACCCTCAGGGTCCCCCTCTCACCAGCCTCTGGGGGGAGGAAGGGGTTAAACTTACCTCTTTCCCAAGCGCTGGGTGGGGAGCTCTCCTCCTCTCCGCCTCCTCTCCTCCTCTTCGGCTGAATGCGCATGCGCGGCAGGAGCCGCGCGCGCATTCAGCCAGTCCATAGGAAAGCATTCTCAATGCTTTCCTATGGACTCTGGCGTCTTCTCACTGTGAAAATCACAGTGAGAAATGCGGAAGCCCTCTAGCGACTGTCAATGAGACAGCCACTAGAGGCTGGATTAACCCTAATATAAACATAGCAGTTTCTCTGAAACTGCTATGTTTATAGAAAAAAGGGTTAAACCTAGCTGGACCAGGCACCCAGACCACTTCATTAAGCTGAAGTGGTCTGGGTGCCTATAGTGGTCCTTTAATAATGCTGCAGTGTAAATTCCTGTTTACTCCTATAAGCCGTATTGGCCTTGATTTGATGTTGTTGCATTAACTTTCTATATGACTTTATATTTTTTGGACAAACTTTAAAATACATTTTTTTTTCAAGCTTTTCAAAGTATTTTTTTTTCAAAATATTAAGTTATCAAAAAGATATTGTATATAAAGATACAATATATATATAAAAAAAATCTAAATATTACAAAATTAAAATATTTTTAATAATTTTAAAAATTTATTGAAAAATAATAAATAATTTGGAAAGCTTATCAAACAATATTTAAGTGAGGCCATAATGTTTCAATGCATTCAATATTCACCTTGCCCTTGTACATACTTGCCATCAGTACCAATATCAACAGAACCGTTCAGATTTTGGACACGTCCTGTCATCCAGAGTTTTTGTCTAGTGTCCTTCTTCTGGGGATACCAGGGCAAATTCTGCCTTCTCTCGATTCCATGGACATTTATGGTTTTATGAAGATCACTGTCATTTGTTTTGCGAGAAAGGCAGTCTCTGATAAATTGGTTCAATGGCATCCAATTTGCAGAACTGACACCCTATATCTCATTGGTCTGATCTCCCTGAAGAAACTAATTCAAATGTACTTATTTAAAAGGACACGCCAGGCACCAAAATAACTTTTTTTAAATGCAGTTGTTATGGTACCAGGAGGCCCCTGTAGGCACTGTTACCTCAAGGAACGTTTCTTAAAAGGGGAGTCACTGGTTGGCTTGGAGCATCAGCTGTTCGTTCTCAGTCAATCAGCAGCGTACCTACCTGGCGGCACTCTGCGCTTCCTGAATCTAAAAGTTCTGAAGCTGAAAGCCGCCGGGGGTGAGTGGACTTGTGTCACGTTTCTGTGTGTTTTGGAAAATGAATGGAATTTAAATGCTGGTAATCTTTGATCAACAGCATAAATAATTGCTGATTAAGAATACACATTCATATTGTGATTAAATGCAATATTGATTCTCTTTCAGTTTCCAGGATTTATTATTCAATGGCAGGGAAACAAGTGACCAGGAAAAGGAAATGAATTCAGAAATTATCCTTGAACAGATTCTTATAAAAAGGTCACAGCAGAAAAAGAGGACTTCTCCCCTAAACTACAAGGAAAGAAATTTTGTGCTAACAAAGTCAAGGCTTACCTACTACGAAGGACGCCCTGAGGTATGGGATATTTACATGTGTTTTTCTGTAATAATATGGACAGTACGAAATCTATTTGGGTTATTGATTATTATGACTTCAATTTAATATAAATATAAATTCCCCAGGATCCAATGTAGTCAGGGGAGAGCTGACAAATGTTTCCTCTCTCCCACCCCATTAAATATACCAGGTATAAGTCATATAAGTAACTGTTTGTTTTCTCCACTCCTGAGACATTGACATGGAGGTAATTTATTACCAAGCAGAACGTTGGGCACACCTACTAAGGCAAGAAAGAATAGTCAGAGCGTGTTGCCAGTATTTAGGATTGGCAGGGCTCAACATAGAGTGACAGATATATCTAGGCTTACAGACATACAAGGTCAAGAAGCTAGCCAAGGTTTGGGATTATAGAATTACATAAGGTTAGGAAACTAGTCAAGGTCAAAATGTCAGAAAATTAGACAAAACAAGAACATGCTATCGTGTATTAAACATAAACTATAACAGGGTAAGTATGACTCATGTGAGTGTGCATCAAAATTGACGCTGGGGTTAGCGACAACATAAAATGATGCTGGGAAGAAGCACCTCGGATGAAGACAAGGTAAAAAAAATGGCCAAGGGGAGGTGCAGGTACCTTTATGTTAACATAATACAATTCTGAATTCCCCCTCCCCTCTGATGTTCATACAGACAACATGACAAATGCAGTATGACCAGGGGCTGTCAACGCACTTTATCCTAAGTGACCACCTATCAATATTATACAAAGAGCTGGATTACCCATAAGGCAGCATAGGTTGCTCTCTAGACCGTGGAGCTCTGGCACTGACTGTGAGGGGCCCTTCTTGAGCTGGCAGGGAGAACAAAAGCTATCCCTGCTTGGCCCTGTGTCTCCTCAACTGCTCAAGGGAGCTTTATGGTCTGCACCTCTATTAGGTGCAGGGAGCTCTTACAGTGATATTTCCCCAGTCAACCACCAGGGAAGGTGCTACAATGGACCAACAGGCATCTTTTAAAACAAATGGCCTCTACTGGAACACTAGAGATTATACCCCCTCCTGTAAAATTGTGTACTCAGGAGAGGGCATTGGTAAATCGTGCCCACACACACATTCAGACACTACATCGATCATCAACACACAGGACATAGCCCAGGTCTCTCGGAGGGGACCTCAATCTTGTAACCTGTCTTGAGGCTCTGGCAGCTGTAATCTGGCTTTGGTCATATAGGGGGCCCAGTTGTCTGGTCACATAAGGTTTTTGATCTCTGAAAGATTAACAGTATCTTATTGCCATGCTTTTTCCAAAATATACAGAAACTTTAAGCAAATTTGCTTAAATAAAAAACTCTCTTGGTTGTTTATATTGAGAAAAAAAAAGCAACAAATATAATTTTTTTTCTACTGCTAAATATTTTTGACAAGGACCATTGCTTTCCCATCTAAAGGTTAATGAAAATGAAAGCTTGATGGATTGATGCAACAATCAATGTTCCCCCTCTGGTGCAAAGAAAGTCTGTAGATCATTTTTTCTACTATTTCTCAACTGCGTGCATTGCAACTGTGTTTCAGTTCTCATCCACTCGCTATGTTTATCCTCCATTGCCAGGTTCACAGATTTAACACCAACTACCGTATTTTTCGCTCCATAAGACGCACCTCACCATAAGACGCACCTAGTTTTTAGAGGAGGAAACCCAGAAAAAATAAATATTTTGAACAAACTGTTCCATAGTGTTTCCTACTATGGGACAGTTTGTTCAGAATATTTTTTTTTTCTCCCCTGTCCCATAATGATCTTTAACCCTCCTTTCCTCTGTCCCATAGTGATTGTTAACCCCTCCTACCCTTGTCCATTAGTGTGCACACTATGTGTGCACTTCCTTTCAGTCCCGCCGGAAACCGGAACCTGAAATAGAAGTTCCTGGACCGCGGAGCGCGCTGTGAAGCCGGCCCACGCTCCAAGACAGGTAAGTAAATCTTCACATTCGCTCCATAAGACGCACAGACATTTCCCCTCACTTTTGAGGGGGAAAAAAGTGCGTCTTATGGAGCGAAAAATACGGTATTCTACAGTAATTATTATTTCATCATAGTAGCGAGGATTATCGCCACAGACAACATGTCAATTTTAATTTGATTTTTCTTCCTGTGTTCTAATTTTGATCTTCAAGCAAAAATTTCATGTATCTTAATGTCATTTTTGCACAAAATATGAAACCGATGAGAAGAAAAAGACACAAGAAAGAACAAAAAACAAGCCATGATGGCTTTTTTTCTTATTTGAATATGTAAATACATATAAGCAGTGTAATAACGACTGAGGCTCGGAATGGGACTGAAATAGTTTAGGAAGACACTCTGTCAGATGGCAGGTGCCAGCAGTTGATTAAGACTGAATTGATTGCTGTATTCCTTCTCTTAAGTTATTTTAGTTTTTGTTTTGTTTAGTTAAGCATGGGAAACAGTCAAGCTCCCTGTAAATACTCACAAAAGATAAAAAATTAAAATTCCCAAAATACAACCCCACCCTTCATTAAATCCAAAGTGCATACTAAAACCAGGAAGTACAAACACCACTATTAGTGTAAGGGGTGACAAACATGAAAAACATTGTCATTATTAATCCATGCTGGGGAATCCGTATGGACATACATCACTATCATCTAATTTATGGTGTGGAATAGAATTTACTAACTGAAGTGAGGAATTTTGGAATGGGAGAGATTGGGAGCCCTATAGAATTACTACAAAAAGTATAGACTACATATTAAATTTCTTCTATACATCTAATAGGATAATTATTCATATGTTTGTTTTAGCGGCAGTGGCGTAGCGTGGGTTGTCAGCACCCGGGGCAAGGCAAGTAATTTGCGCCCCCTAACCCGTGGATTTTAGCACTCGAGTCTCTTCCACTAGATTAGTTAAAGAAACCCTTACCCCCCAAGCACATGTATTGTTTGTTATGAAAATACTTATGTAATTAAAGTAAAATGCATCTAAATACAAGTTTATTTTCCAACACTTTATTGAGTGCGAACATGCATTACACACATTCTCCACATTTTCAGCAGGTCTATGAATACAAATATACAAATGTAGTAACCTAGCATGGGCCATGCTATTATATGTCGTCTCACAACCATCGTAAACGACAAAAAATATCAAGAACAAAAACTAAACATCAAAATGGAACCATACCCTGGAGATGATCCAAGACTGGGCTAGATGGAGCCAACTTCCTCAATCCTGTACCTCTAATTGTAATTCTTTAATAGAAGTGCAAGATATCAATCTGTATATAATATACAGATTAATTTAAATTCGCCTGCTTTTAATTAGCGCAAATTTTTCAACAACGGAATAGTGTTTCTTTAATGTGAGGTAAATTAGAGATTAGTGCCACAAATAATATACTAGATTGCCTACTTACAACGAGATGAGGATGATGATGGGCTCTAGCTGCAGTCTGGCTCCACTGGTCTGGTGTAGAACAGGCTCTCTGGAGGCTGTTTGTAACTGTGGTCACAAAAATCAATATACTAGGAGAACGGGAAGCAGCTCCATTTTTGGGGGGCCCTTTACACAGCTCAAGGTCTGGGTCCCAGGGTCCACCTTCATGTTCCACCAATGAGTTTGTTCACAGGGGGTGGAGTGTGTAGGGGATGTCCTGATATGTGTGTAAGGAATGCATTGTGTGAATCTGTGTTTGTATGTGTAAGGGCTGCAAGGTGTGTTTCTGTGTATGTACAGGATGCAGTGTGTGCGTGTGTAAGGGGTGCATTGAGTGTGTGTAAGGGGTGCATTGAGTGTGTGTAAGGAATGCATTGTGTGTTTCTGTGTGTGTAAGGGATGCATTGTGTGTAAGGGTTACATTGTTTGTGTGTGTGTGTGTGTCTGTGTGTGTAATGCATTGTGTGTTTTTCTGTGTGCAAGGGGTGCATTGCATGTGTGTGTGATGGATGTCAATCTCTCCCCCCTCCCTTGTTACTCTCTTCTCCCCCCTCTCCCTCCCTTGTCACTCTCTTCTCCCCTCCCCCTTCCCACTCTCATTGCCCCTTCCTCCCCTGTAACTCTCACCCCCCGTCAATTTCTTCTCCCCCCCACCAATTTCTTCTTCTCCCCCCTCCCCTACCAATTTCTTCTTCTCCCCCTCCCCTACCAATTTCTTCTTCTCCCCCCCTCCCCTCCCCATTTCTTCTTCTCCCCCCTCCCCTACCAATTTCTTCTTCTCCCCCCTCCCCTGCCAATTTCTTCTTCTCCCACCCTCCCCATTTCTTCTCCCCCCTCCCCTACCAATTTCTTTTTATCCCACCCTCCCCATTTCTTCTCCCCCTCCCTTACCAATTTCTTCTACCCCTCCTCCCAATTTCTTCTCCCCAAGTCCCCTCACAATTTCTTCTTACCCTGTCCCCTCACAATTTCTTCTTACCTCCCTGACAATTTCTTCTCCCCCCCTCCATCCCAATTTCTTCTCCCCCCCTCCCCATCCCAATTTCTTCTCCCCCCTCCCATCCCAATTTCTTCTTACCCCCTCCACTGACAGTTTCTTCTCCCCTATCAAATTTCTTCTCCCCCTCCATCCCATTTCTTCTTACCCCCTCCACTGACAATTTCTTCTCCCACCCTCCCCATTTCTTCTCCCCCCTTCCCTCCCAATTTCTTTCTCCTCCCCCCCACCTTTGTTGTAGCGTGGCCGAGCCCTGCAGCATGATGGTCCGCGGGTACAGGTTGCTTTTGTTTCCTGTACCCGGCCGGACTAACAGGAAGTGCACACTGAGTGTGCACTTCCTGTTAGTCTGGCCGGGTACAGGAGACAGATGCTCCCTGTACCCGTCGGACCAGCATGCTGCAGGGCTCGGCCACGCTACTACAGAGGGAGTGACAGGAGGGAGCGCTGAGCGCTTCCCTCCTGTCAGCCCCTCTCCTCAGGTTGCGCCCGGGCGGTGCGGTCCGCCCTCATGGACGCACCGCCCGGGCAAAGCTGCAGCCGCCTGAGGCTCTCTACAGAGCGCTCGGGCGGCTGCAGCATGGGGGGGCCAGCCCTGAGCGCGCCCCCCCAGATGTTGCGCCTGGTGCGGCCGGCCTCTCCTGCACCCCCCACGCTACGCCTCTGTTTAGCGGTGCTAATGTTTAACTCATACGATGGAGGCGTATTTGTCATTTTCCGCTGATTGCAAGCAAAATGTTGCAATTATTGAAATTTGGCTTCTTGTAGATATTGTACAAGTAGAGACACTGTAAAAAGAATACTTTTTATTGTCAGATGTTTCATTGTGTACCTGTTCTATGAGAGACTCTGTGATTATCTCAGTGATAATCTGATATTGTATTAACAATGACAAATCAGGCTATTTTCTTTTCATTGATTCATTGATTCAATTAATCTCTATGAGGAGATGCTGATTGGCCAGGGATGTGTTTGAATCATGCTGGCTCTGCCCCTGATCTGCCTCTTTGTCAGTCTCAGCCAATCCTATGGGGAAGCATTGTGATTGGATCAGGCTACCACTTCTGCTGATGTCAGCAGGCAGTGGGCATGTCAAAAGGAAATGGGGACAAAGCAATCAGCTCCAGACTTGAATACAAGTAAGATTTTACTAGATTTAGGGAGGCATGAGGGGACCATGGTGGCTAGATTGTTTTTTTAACCCTATAGGGTCAGTTATACATGTTTGTGTTCCTGACCCTATAGTGCGCCTTTAAATATGCATTATTTCATTACAACCTACTGGTGCCTGGCATTTGGCAAACCCTCATTCTGGATTATGCTGATCTGGGTATAATTCCTTTTTTATTTTATCTTGTTATTAAGTAACCACTTATTTCAAATCACAGTTAAAACAGTGAACGCTAAAGAAACTGGATGTTAGTGGTGGGAAAAGGGAAATGTAGCACGTGTAATACAAAGTGGAGAGGTGGAAAAGAATTGGAGAACAAAATAAAAGAACTAGTTGACTAAATACTGTCTACAGATAAGGAATTCAACTGAAACAGGTGAACTCATTGTACACTTAGTAAAGAGTTTAATGGTTGCTAGAGGTTTCACAGCTCTGTCCCCAAGTCAAATACAGTCATTACCAAGGAATTGAGTAATAACCTTTAGGATATGTGCTGCAGGTTCTGCCATGTTAGTAAACTGGTGTGACGACCGTTTTACAACCTCTAATTAAGTTGAGCAGTGGAACTGAATGT